ACTCAAATAAGCCCGGATATTGTCATCTGAACAAGTAACAAGTCTGCCACGTTTGTTCTGACCAACTGAGGAAAAAAGCATTACAATCGCACTATATGGTGATTAAATCTAAAGATCGATTAGCTCATATCACATCAAACCGTGCAAATTATTATTGTTATACTTTATTCTCAGATTATTAATGTTAACAACATCAGTGTGTGTGTAGATTTCAATTTCTGTACAGTCTAACCTCTAATTGTCATACCATTCGAATTTCATACCAAGAAATTCTTTTAACCCAAAAAGCAAACTATGCTTCCTTCGAACTGGTTGTCTTTAAAATACAAATCTTGTGTAATCCCAGGCTATCTGTAATCAGAAGCACATTTAAAACTGGAATATAATTTAATTTCATTCACTTGTGTTTCATATAATCCTTTCTGGATTACAATCCGCCATCAAAATTATTTTTTGACATTTAAATATTCCAGCTGCTGTGAGAAAAGGCTATAAACGATCAGCCACCTGCAGGATCCTCACATGCGATAGCCTAGTAGCCGGGACAACTTCTTTATGTTTACAGACGTGACGTAATGACGCAGCGGCATGCTCGAATTTCCCGCGAAAACCTACCCGTACCACTCAAATTAGAAAACATTATTATAAGCTAACCGTTGTGAATCGGGCTAAAGTAAGGCGATAGTTTTGAACACTGGCTGGTTATGTACTTGCTCAAATATTGATTTTGGATAATTTTTAACCAAAAAAAGTTACGGACTGCAGCTTTAATACAAAAATACTAAATATTTTAAAAAATGACTGAAAATGTTTTAATCACCGAGGATCACAAGTGTGACCCCTAAGCGAGGAAAACCAGAGGGTTACTGTAAATAGAAGGTCCTATACTAAAATGTCCTATACTTGGTACTTTTATATACATAACTTAGATATATACACTTTATTCTTTACCTTGAAATAGGGCTTGTTGGAGAATGTGATGTCCTTTGCTGTGAAGAGATGCACTGATGCTAATACAGACTTTAACTGATTCAGAATAAAGTTTGATAAGGATGTCAGCAGTTCTGGCAGACTGGGTGTGGCATCTTTACTAGTAGCCCCGCCTCCTGATGCACTAGCCCCTCCCACTGATAGACGAGGTGCAGCCAAAGCCTGTCTTACATCAGTAAGGCTGTCATGGTAGAAGGTTTGTAAGGCAGACAGGTACTGTTTGATTCTCTCTCTTGCTGCCCGCACCACTATCTCCGTTCCTTGGCTGGGCACTGCCGACCCCGGAAGTAGTTTGGATATTGCCTGTAATCTGCGATGGAAGCGATCCAGGGCTCTCACTAACAGAGAGTTATCACCCACTCCCTTCTCTTCTTGTATCCTCCTCTCTACTAGAGAGAAGTATCTAGCAGCCAGAGTGTCCACAAACACATGTAGCTTGCCATTAGCCATCTCTGGGATTTTCTTTGAAGCTAATTCACCCTCCTGTGGATGGTTGATAAACAATTCTTGATAGGAGGCAATGACTAAACAGAGATTGCTGACAAACTCATTACACCCTCGATCTATGAACTCAAGAATGTCTGTTCCGGCAGTAGGAGAGAGGAATGGATTGGTCGTAGAAGAACTAGAAGGAGATACAGGATTTGATCCAGGATTTGTTTTTTGAACCAAGCCTCCGCCGGTATCAGTAACCAGAGAGTCTATAAGCTCCGCCTCCAGTCCTTGGAGATCTGCCTCCAACCTAGACTGGGCATGGCTGAGGAATTTGTCACAGAGCTCTTCCGCTGGCTCGTCTAACTGCAGAAGAAGCTCAACACATTCAGAAAGGTCTTTAGCACTCGAACCTCCATCCCTGCAAGCAAATATGAATTAACAAAGTACATGAGATTAGATTTTATGGAAGGCATTTTGACTCAAGTCAATGATTTTTATAGGGTTAGTTCACCCAAAAATGAAAATTCTGTCATTAGTTACTCACCCTCATGTCATTCCAAACCTGTAAGACCTTCATTCATCTTCAGAACACAAATTAAGATGTTTTTGATGAAATCCAATTCAAGATTTCTGACCCTGCATAGATAGCAATGCAATTGACATGTTTAAGGCCCAGAAAGGTAATGACATCGTTAAAATAGTCCAATTGACATTAGTGGTTCAAACTTAATTTTATGAAGCTACCAGAATTATTTTTGTGCGCAAAATGTCCTTACTACCTTTCTGGGCCTTTAACGTGGTAGTTGTATTGCTGTCTATGGAGGATCTAAAGCCCTCGGATTTCATTAAAAATGTCTTAATTTTGTGTTCTGAAGATGAACGAAGGTCTTACGGGTTTGGAACGAGATGAGGGTGAGTAACTAATGACAGAATTTTCATTTTTGGGTGAACTATACCAAACACAAAATCAAAAGTTCAGATGCTCTTCACTAAATTCTACTAGGTGAAACACAGTTATTGTATTTTATTTTAACTAATACAAATATATGCCTTGACATCCCAGCAAGCACAGACCTGAATTTCTGCCGCAGCTGTTGAGCGAGCTGCTCCATAATGACATGGCAGTCATCTTGGATGCCCCTGAAAGATGGCATATGACTATACTGCTGCAGTACACAGCGTGCCCTCCGGTGGGCACTCACTGCCTGGGCATAGGCCTGCAGCTCCAGACACTTATTGAGCCTTGCTGGCAGCTCAAACAGGAACTGGAGCTTACGTAGGAGAGTGTGAACACCTATACAGAAGATGAAAGATTCATGGCTTATGTGGAGGCAGAAATCAATTTCACCTTGAAATCAGACCTTGAAATCATAATGGTTGTTATACTACCAATACAAGCCTCGGTCATGGATCATTTATTATTAATGTGATCCATTTCTATCACATTATAATATTCATACCTGATAGTTTAGTGATCTGTGCATGCTGGTCCTGCAATGTCCCACTAATGTGGGCACTAAACTCTGTGATAGCAGCCATGTTCGCAGACAAACAGTCCATTTCATCTTCCATCTTCTTGAAATCATTCTTCATTTTTCTGATTGTGTCTGTGGAGAGACAAATAAAATTAAATAAGAGCCATACACTGCAAAATAAATGAGAATAAGAATAGTCAATTATGAGTTCATGGTGACTTCAATAGTAATATCTGAACAACTTTCATCTGTTCACTAACCTGTAGCTGAGATGAACTTATTGTAGTTTTCATAAACCAGGGTTTGCATGTCACTGTCCAGAGATCTGATCTGTTTCACCGTGCAGCTCTCATGATCCATCAGCTCACCCAGAGAACACTCCTTCCTCAACTGAAACACAAACAAGACATTTCAAAGACAAACCACAGTACATTTTAGCCTTCTAGCAAACAAATACAGTCACATACGTGTATTTATGGGAGAATAATTTATATGTGGCATAAAACGCTGAATAAAACCAGTGACAGCTTACTCGTTGCCACACTGCTAACAGATGTGTACACCCCTATATAATACACAATAAACACCTACTCTTTGTCATTATTCATCACACTACCTTATTTAAATAAACCTCTGGGTCGAAATGCGGTCCGTTGATATCACACGGATCCAGAGACTCGACTTTTCCTTCCTCATTCATGCCGTAGTAGAGCTTCAGCATACTGTGAACCTGCCGCCGCCCGGTCGGGTCCGAATCCGGTGGGGTTGTAGCTGAACTCATTTCTACCACAGTTCAACTATAGCCTAATGTCAGAGCGAGAAGGACTTTATCTCATGAATGAATGACAGATGTCAACAAAACATCTGTTGCAAGAGCTCTGGTTGCAACCTGCCAACTCAGTTTGTTGATGGGGCTGCTGATCCAAAATGGCGTTACTGAAGACAGTATTTCAAAATAAAGGTCCGGGCGTGAGTTATACTGTATGTATAGTGGTAAAATATAATTTGTATATAATAACGAAAATGTAAATAATGTAAATGTTAAAATCTTAAAAAATAATGAATGCTTGTCACTGCTTCCATGCATGAAATTATACACAATATTTAGTTACATTTATTTCGTTCCTTCTTTTTCTCCTCAAGATGTAATTCTATTACACATCAAAGACCTTATTACAAGCATTGTTCGTTTAAATAAAACATTAATAAAAAAATCCATTATACAGAAAATTATTTACTGATATGTATGCCAGAAGTTAGTACAAAGCGGGAATAAAAAGGTTTAATGTTGCATATAAACGGTTTTAGTTCATTTTACACATTTTATAAATTTGTGTATAAAACCTCATAAACAACAAAAGGTAGTGGAGATACAATTTCAAGAGACAGATGACAGCAAAACTCTAGCAACAGATTAAATGTAAAAAAGGCACTTTAAATTAGTATCGACAGATTCAGTATTTCTATAACACAGATGGGACTATCTACAGCACAGTTAGTAGGTACATATGTGTGACAGATGTTCAGCCTGAAATATAAACATTGGATTAGCTTTAGAGTGGAAAATATAATATGGTACAGAAGGTCTGGGACTAAGCCTTTTAGGATTATCATCTTGACAAGCGTTTTGCATAAATACAGAAATGCAGTGGGTGTACTGATCGTTTTGCACCATTCAGCTGGCCGTTTTCCTTTCACAGTTCAGCTTGTTATGCCAAAGTTTTCATTTTCCACACTTTTAAATGTGATCGAGTGTAAGCAGGTAAAGAAACATGCACACCACAAAATCAATTCAAGACAACAGATGTCATGCATTGATAAATACAGAATTGTGTCAGGTAACTGATGACCTGTTAATGTAGGGCTTGACATTAAGATTTGACAGGTACTGTAACGTTTAAGAACAATTAAGTCATTTGTAAAAAAGCAGTGCATTGACATTAATTACCAAAACAGGAGGTATAATGTACAAATTCATTAATTTAGTAATTCTTCACAATTCAGACCATCAGTAAAGTTCCCAAATTGTTTGGTAATGATGCCACAGGGTGAATAACTGGACGTTCAGAATCAGAGGTTATGATTAAATAACCTCCTTTGACATTTTTCTTCTAACTGTCATGGACAATTGTTAATGTCGGGCCCTATTAATATTATTTTAGTAAAAAAAATCATATACATTTCCTACAGTTAGGTACATTCAAGCTCTAAAAGACTGGAAACACAGTACAACGCTTAGGGTTTCATACATTGTAAAAGCATCGCTAAATAGAAATAGCAGACATACATCACCTATTGATCATCAAGCACCTACACAACTGGTGATTCAATGTATTAAATAAAGTTCTCTCTGCTTTACAAATGCAGATTATGCTCACATATGACCTGGATTGTTTTCAGCAGTGCATTACATGCACACCATCAGAAAGATATGATTCTCCAGAGCAACAAGGTAGTGGGACCACTACTACAGTCAACTGCACTCAATGTGTCGAGTCATGATTTACCTTTGGTCACCACTGAACACACAAAAAAATCTTGTTACAAATAAGAAGTCTGCATATGCAAACAAGCCCTGTAGTAAACAAGACAGCAAAAACAATACACACATTCAGCAGACAAGTAGCACAGAATGTCATAATCTCAGTCTGTGCTGTCTTTGCAATGCTTTGCCACAGACAGCAGCCCTGGTTTTGCATATAGGAGCGGTTGTCCTATACTAGAGGCATTGACTGTTTGCTTTGGTGCAGCAGGTCTAGTTTAAGCAGTATTAGTGACATGGATTAAAGTGCTGGACTACTGTACTCTTGATTTACAGCCACTGGGATGTAGTTTGGTTTGATGTTTGCATAGTAGAAACTACATTCAGAACAGTGACCTAAACAGAGCTTTCGGATCGTGTCTCATAGTCTTGAACTTGCACCAAAATATCTTTAAGTTAGTTTAACAGAACAGCATTATTGAAGCAAATTTCACATTAGTTTTTAACGGCCAACAGAGAAAGCTTTAACTTAAACCTGTGACATAACGCACAAATTATCTATAAATACTGGTTTAGCTCTTCAGTCTGTGTTCTTGGTCCGATCGGTCCATTCAGTTGGTTTTGCACCGTGTCTCTGAGGATCTAAATAGACAGATGTAGTTTTGGTCACCGGGCAGAAGAGGGCAGTGTTGAAGCCGGGGCTCACCCTTGCTCCAAACTTTCAGTCACCTGAACCTCCGAGTAAGTGGGAGGCTGAGCGTGTCGCGTGAAGAAAGAAGCAGCTCTTTTGGGCTTCAGACGTTTAATCTCTTTGCCTGAAACAATGGAGGTAAATTAAAATGAGCTTTGTCCCAGTTTATTATTTCTTCATTGTAGACGATAAAAGTTAATGGGCAGAACAAATGAACACCAGGTGCGTCCATCGCACCAATGCAATTTTAGTCTCTTACCGTCATCAACGTAGCTGATGGTGTTGAGTGAATGGACTCGGCTACAGACCACACTGCTTTGTCTGCGCAGTTTCCCCTGCTGTCGCTCTCGGGTTTTCCCATTGGTTTCCCGACCCGTAGGTTCTTGGGAAGGTGTGACCTCACCGTCAGTACCAGCGGCTGCTGACTCGCCAACAGAGCGCAACTCCACACAAAACTCAATAAGACCACTCATTAGTTCCGCCTAGAGGACAAAACAAAGTACTTATGTAATACAACTATACAAGTATAATACAAGTATATATAGGTTATACAGAAGTATATCATAAAAATGTACATACATAAAAATGTTCTAAATTTGGGGTCAGTAATCAAAATTAGTGGTCGACCGATATATCGCCAAGGCCGATATATCGGCATTGGCCGATAAGTTAGTCGGATCCAGTTGTGAGATCTTGTGAAGTATGCATTTGTATCCAGCATGATCGCGTGTTCTCTGCGTGACGGTCGATCCGTGTGAATTGAATGCTGACAGGAGGAGAGTTCAGCTTCACTGGAGACGCGCGATCGACAAACTTTAAACTCGTGATTTTAAATTATGCTGCGCTTTATGCATTTTCCCACTGTCATATTCATGTCATTTTCACTGTGTGCTGTATGTAAAATGAGTGTTACCTTGGCTTTATTTGAAAAAATGATTAATGCACACAAACTTCCAAGAATACTGAGTGCCCTGTTGGTTACAGTGTTTATTTCCTTTTTAATTATATTTGTATTAAATATTTATTTATATGTGAAAATATTTTGTCATCTAAAGTATAAGTATGTTTATTTAACACATTTATTTTTTAATCAATTTTCAAATGATTTAAAATTTCTTAAATATTAATTAAAATACATCAAATTATATCGGCTTTATGTCGGCCATCCTGCTTTCCAAGATATTGGCATCGGCTGTCAAAAAACCAATATCGGTCGACCACTAATCAAAATACATAGTAAAAATGGAAATATTGTGAAAAATTATTACAACTTAAAATAACTTTTCTATATAAATGTAATTTATTCCATTACTGTAGTCTTCAGAGTCACATGATCCTCCAGAAATCATTCTAATATGCTGATTTGCTGCTCAAGAAACATTTCTTCTTATTAAACATTTCTCAAGAAACATATCTTACTGAAAACAGTTATTCTGCTATTTAAAAAAAAAATAAATAAAATTTGTGGAAACTGATACTTCTTTTTTTTTTTTTCAGGATTCCTTGATTAATAAAAAGATGGAACAGCATTTATTTGAAACGTGTGTTACATTATAGATGTCTTTAGGTCTATTTTGTCCGATTGAATGTATCCTTGAATTAAAATATTAATTTGTTTGATAAAGAAATATATTTATGTAACAATTCATCTGATAATATTAAAATGCAAAAATTATCATTTTATTTGCATTTACTTATTTTACTGCTACAATACTCGCTTACACTGTCAAACATAAAAACATTAGTCATTATGTGCTCACCTGTTTTGAATAAATCTTTAATAACTTGTTGACAGGCATGCCAGCCTCCTCCCCATCAAACTCCAGCCAGAGTATATGTGAGTCTCCCTCTGTCTCTGGATAGCTGTGATCCCAGGAAAGCTCACTGAACTTGAGACCCAGGAGGACGTGCTTCTCTTTCACATCCATGACATACACTCCTTCCAGACTGATGCCCACACTCACAGCCTTACGGCCACCTCTGTGAAGGAGACCCTGGGCTGGCTTGTCTGTCTCACCCATGAAAAAAGCACATCTGGAAAAATAAATAAATACACATACGTAAGGCTCAGACACTTCATATTTGAACAGCTCTCCACTTGCAATGATCATACCCGTAGTAAGGCAGGGTGTGGCAGCTCCTGAGGTACTGGTGCAGCAGAGCAATGGGCTCCAGACTGGAGCCAGTGGCAGCAGAGGAGCAGACTGAACGATACTCCTTTATAAGATTTTGCTCCATCTCTGCATTCCTCCCGCCTCTCCCCCTCAGTGTGGACAGAAAACCTCCTCCTCCTAATGCAGCGTGGGCCGGTAGGAATGATGACAGCTTCTTCTCTCTGAAATAACATTACAGGTAGAAATTGAAAGTAATTACAGCAAATTAGTTCATAACAAATTACACCGTAATAGTCAGCTAAATAATTCTAGGACGGAATGATGAAAACATATTAATTAAATTCTAAGTTACATTTAAATTAGTATTTTTAAAATAAAAACAACTCAAAATACAATACTTACACATGTCTCTGTTACACATGTACTTAGTATAGTAACAACAGTAACTTGTTTCCTTATCTAGTTGTCTAATAAATCTGGCATTGTGTATTACAATGCAATTTCATAAGTTGCTATGGATAAAAGCACCTGCTAAATACAAAAACAAACATAAATGCAGTAAATTATGCATAATTTCAAGCAAATAACTATAAACCAAAACCTGAATATACTTCAAAATAGAGTGAAACCAAACATTGAAAATAAAAAAAATGGACAAAGGGAAGTGAAACCTCAACTTTACATTAAAGGGACAGTTCACCCAAAAATGAAAATTGTGTCATTAATTGCTCACCCTCATGTTGTTCCAAACCCGTAGGACCTTCGTTCATCTTCAGAACACAATTTAAGATATTTTTGATGAAATCTGAGAGCTTTCTGACCCTTCATAGACATACTCTTGTGAATGGCGGTGGACGCTGACACGGAAGAGAAGAATTGTTGAATAAAGTCGTTATTTTTGTTTTCTTTGCACACAATTAGTATTCTCGTAGCTTCATAAAATTACTGTTGAACCACTGATATCACATGGACTGTTTTACTGATGTCCTTACTACCTTTCTGGGCCTGGGAACATTACAGTTACAGTGCTGTCTATGCAGGGTCAGAAAGCTCTCTGATTTCATCAAAATATCTTAATTTATGTTTCCAAAGATAAACGAAGGTCTTACGGGTTTGGGATGACATGAGGGTGAGTGATTAATGACACAATTTTCATTTTTGGATGATCTAACCCTTTAACCATTTAATCACTGATGTAGGAGCAGAGAAGGGCACCTGATTGCCACTGTTAGAGCCTGGTCATCAAGTCCAGTCCCCAGCTCAATGGCACAGGACAAAGCTCCCAATGTCAGCCAGTGTTCTGGGTCACAGGGGTAACGACCCTCCAAAATATTCATCTGGGCCTCATCATAAAGTAGCCTCAACACTCCTTCATCTTCAATCTGACATTACAAAATAAAGATGTTACACAACATAAATTCACGTCATGGAATCACAAAACAAATTTTGAAATGAAATTATTTAATATATCAATACTTCAAATTCTGTTAATAAATAAAAAAAAAAAAGTAAACAATCAGCTTTGCCATAACTGAAGCAGAAATACTAGAAATACCATAGGCTACATGGGTCTTTGAGTCAAAAGCCTGGTGCACACTGTATGTCTGAGGTAAACATGAGGAATTGTAAAAGATTATGCATGTCTATATGATTGATATGTAACATAAATCTCTTTTGGAAGCTTTATGCCATGATCGCTCTTAAGAATAAGCGGTCCATGACCTCCACTGGCCAGCCTAATAACTCTAGACACAAACGCTCAATCAAGTCCAAAGTCTTTGATAAGATGTACAGTACAGCGTTGCACAGCCTGACATGCAAGGCATTTGACATTGTACATGTGGCTTTGGCTTTTGCGCAATATCTCTCTGGGGTCATATTGCATGATCTGACAAGCAAACATCTTAGAAGACAAAGAAAAACTTAAAGTGTGCACTGGGCTTAAAGGGATATTTCACCCAAATGTTTCATCAATTACTCAGCCTCATGTGGTTCCAAACCTGACTTACTTTCTTCAGTAAAATAAAAAAGATTTTTGGAAATGAATGAATAAATATAATGAAAGTCACTGGGGTCCAAAACTGTATTGGACCCTATTAACTCATTATATGGACAAAAAAAACCACTAAAACATTCTTCAAAATATCTTCTTTTGTTGTGCAGCTGAAAGAACTGTATTGGGCCCCACTGACCTCCAAAAAGAAATAAGTCATAAGTACATACGTTTGGAAATACATGAGGGTGAGTAAATAAGAGAATCTTAATTTTTCCATAAACATTCCCTTTAAAACACTAAATAAACACACCTGAAGTTCTTTTGACCTGGGATAAAAAACATTTCTTTTGTACAGAAGACATGGCTCATCTGAAAAATACAAAGATGTGTTTTTGTTAAACACCTAAAATTTCAAGTAAAGTGAAATGTGCAAAAGCAAACACACAAGCATACCTTGAGAAATGTCTTCTGGGGGGGCCTCGGTAAAGCGGTACAGCAGGTCCTGCCACTGACGACACAGCTTGTATGGCAAATGTTTCGGCTTCAACTGCAGGTCTGTTCAAACATATCACAACAAAATTAGACTAAAGGTGAGAAAACAGTAAGAAGGACTCCATAAAAAAATACGATGATCAAACACTAGGGCGGACTTCATCTGTTAATCAATAAGACTATATGTCTAACTAAAGGTTGGAACAGAACACACAATTTTTGCTCAGAATTTTGCCCTAATTTTTAGTATGGATGAGTCGACACTAGTAGCCGAAAGTCGGTGCCAGTCTGCAGATTTTGGGCAGAGTTGACAGATAACAGATGTTTAAAAAAAAAAATGCATATTGCTTTCTTTTGTCATGTTTTTCTCTGTATCCATTACAAAGTTGGCAAGTGTATAATGCCTAGTGTTTTCAAATCTGTACCAATTAAAAATTCTAAAAGTCATGTAGTGTATTCCAGACATTAAAAAGTAAATGTTTTAAAAGACATCAAATAATCCATAAATGCCAGCGGGTGACTTTAACGCCCTGAGCACTTCCTGATGTCCCCTCCCAACACTTCTCTTGCAAATCAGCCAAAGACACTGTAAATGCCATCATTGTGCTTGCCCTTCTTCATAACCTAAATACGAAAAGGTCATAGATTCTGTATCAGTCTGACATCTGACCAGAGCACAAAAGAACAATCATTACCAAGCAAAGGAGAGCAGAACCAGAAAGCGAACACATCTACGGCAGAATTGGGAATGTTGAGAGCTTCTCGGACATTGCGGCCGAGCTCCTGCGCACTCATACAGCTGAGACCCTCCAAAGTCAAGTGAACTGCACTGTTGCTCGCCAAGTACACCAACAAATCCTGAGCTGGAGAAACACAAGAGGGACAAATGATCATGTCAGGTCAAGCATGATCAGATCAGGACCTCCAGTCTGGTGACATCAGATCAAGAGAGGAAACGTTAAGGAACAGAAAACTAACCTCTGGTGACTGAAGAAGCCACACTTCCTCGCTGGGAATGAGAGTGCTCTGACGGCTCAGGGGGGAAGTCGTCACCATCTCCCTCCATCTAATCCAGAAACAAACACTACTTCTGAGTAGGAAATACAAGGCATTTTTATTGCTATTTGTTATTGGTATAATCCGTACAAACTAAGCATAAAAAGAAGAAAAAGTTATTCAATTTGATAGTAGTTTTCATAGCAAAATTAGCAGTCATAAGCATAAACAAGTTTTAAAAAAACACTGAAGGCTAACGCAGCAACTTTTAAGTTCCTGAACCACTGTATGTTTTACAGCTTCTTTTCGCTATTTATACCGTATATCTCACCTTGTCTACTATACTTGGTTAAAATACGGTAATACTATCAACAACAACAACAACAAAAAAAGAGTAGGGAATTAAAAGAAAAAAGACAGCTGACGTCCCTATTCTAACCGGCTAACGTTAGCTAAATTAGCTAGTTACTCCAGTAACAGGCAGGACACCAAACAACACACAGCAACATACCGAGACACTGTCCTTAGTTTCAGAAGCTTCTGTCTTGATGAAAACAGGCAGAAAAAGCAGTAGTATTTGGGAGCGATTAAGTTAAGTTACATAAAAGCTGAGAGTATGACGGCAGCTGGATAATGATCTCAAAACAGCGCCCACCAGTGAAATCTGCAACAACCGGGAAGACGCAGAAGCGCCGCAATATCAACTCGCCAAAAGAGGGCGCGCCACAGCCCAAAGTATATGGAGTCAATATAGTGCCACATATATATGCAAAATAATAAAGTTTTGCAAAAGAAAAAGTTTTGCAAAAGAAAGTTTTTGCAGTTGACACTAGGCAATTTAGTAAATTTATCCTCAAAAACACTTAAATAAACTTGAATGTTTTACAGTAGCAATGCATTTGCTTTTGATAAATATAAAAAAATTCAAACCAAATAAAATAAAAACCAAAAACCTTTACACATAAAACATGTGGATATGGTCATTCATTCATGTATGACTTATATGTTGAGTAAAATAACAATTTTATCTCCGTGATTAGGGTTAAACCGATGAATTCAGAAATATGTGGCACATTTCTCGAATGGCGCAGCCGCCGTAACAATGTTGGCATAATTGGGCTGCCGGAGTCGTCCTTCTGCGTTATTTTCACAGCTCCTATTTGACGTCCTGGAAAAGGATGTTTTGTCTTCTCCACCGGAGATTGACCGGGCTCATAGGCTCTCATCGGAAAACCCACGACCGGAGAAAAGCCGCACGCTGCACCGCTAAAGAGCTGGTCATCTGCAAGGCTCAAGTAGAGACTGTTAAAAAAAAAAACGCTAAAAGAGGCAAGCTGATGTTTCAAGGTAGCCCGATCGCCATATACAGGGCTCTCAATTTTTCTCAAAAGTTTGGAGATGGTCCTCACAGAACACAAGATCCAGGGGGCGTGGTTGGATCCAGATCCAACTCCTCCCACTTTACATATACCTAAACCTACCCGTCTCCACCCCCTGATCCCTAAACCCACACATCTCCAGCCCTAAACCTACCCATCTCCACCCCCTAGATGTGGATCCAACCACGTCCCCTGGATCTTGTGTTCTGCAGTGAGGGGCTACTGAAAGTTTGGAGTGAGATTATATCTGTTAGGGGAGGAGCGACTCCTCGGCCCACACAATTCTCTTAAGTTTTTGCTAGCAGTTCAATTTTACCTATTTGTTCATAATTGACCAGCATAAATAACGATTAGTAAATCTGATAAAACACAGACAAATCAATCCAAATAAAATAAATGTATAAATTTCAAAGATACAAATTTATCAATAAAAAGAAATTTGGCCCCAAACGAGCCAACTCGTGCAGTGCTAAGTGTACTGTCATGGCCAAAAGTTTTCACAGTGACATAAGTTTTGTACTTCAGTATTTGTAGATAATTTTTCCACATTTATATGGTATACTGAAAAACAATGATAAGCATATCATAAGTTTTAAAGGCTTTTATTGGCAAAAAAAAGTAAATACAGTGTTGATCCTTGTTCTTAATAACCTCTGCAATTTGCTCTGGCATGCTGCTATTAGCTTCTGGGCCAAATCCTGACTGATGGCGATCCATTCTTGCCTTATTAGTTCTTGGAGTTGATCACAATTTGTGGGCTTCTGCTTGTCCACTCGCCTTTTGAGGACTGACCACAGGTTCTCTATGGGATTGAGATCCGGGGAGTTGCCTGGCCACGGATCCAAAATTTCAATGTAATGATCTTCGAGCCACTTCTTTATCACTCTTGCTTTGTGACATGGTGCTCCATCATGCTGGAAAATGCACGGATCACCAAATTGCTCATGGATCGTTAGAAGTCGTCACTCTTGCAGGACGTTTTGATACCATTCTTTATTCATGGCAGTGTTTTTGGGCAGAATTGTGAGAGAGCCCACTCCCTTGGTTGAAAAGCAACCCCACACATGGATGGTCTCAGGATGCTTCACTGTTGGCACAACACAGGACTCATGGTAGCATTCACCTTTTCTTCTCCGAACAATCGATTTTCCAGATGTCCCAAACAGTCGGAAGGGAGCTTCATCAGAGAAAATAACTTTGCACCAGTCTTCTGCTGTCCAATCCTTGTACTTCCTGCAGAATTTCAGTCCGTCCTTGACGTTTTTCTTGAAGAGAAGAGGCTTCTTTGCTTCCCTTCTTGACACTAGGCCGTTGTCCAAAAGTCTTCACCTCACTGTGTGTGCAGATGCTCTCACACCAACCTGCTGTCATTCCTGAGCAAGCTCTGCACTGCTGCTGACACGATTCTGTAGCTGACTCCTCAGGAGGAGACGGGCCTGGCTGCACTTGCTGGACACTCTGGGACGTCCTGAAGACTTCTTCAATGCAGACGAACCTCTCTCCTTGAAGTTCTTGATGATCCGGTAAATGGTTCTTTCAGGTGCAATATTCTTTGTAGCAATTTTCTTGCATGTGAGGCCGTTTTGATTTTGTTGCACTGTGACTCAAGGCCAGCCATTTTCACCGTCACAATGGATGATAGCATTCTGTCCCAAGCCAAACTGTTCCTAGTTTTGGTTTTGTTCAAACCCACAATGGAGAACACTGTGCATCTGCATTTGAGTGGGGAAGCCACAGTGCTTTAAGTGGGAGCCTTTTACCCCCGTCATCAAGCCAACAAAATGTAAAAAAAAAAAAAAAACATTCATAAGCTGAAATGTGTACAATCTGACACACACACACAGCTTGACATACATGCTCAGGGCAAGTTCTGCAATCCTGTATGTGTACAGTATGTACATTAAGCACTGCATGAGTTGGCTTGTTTGGAGTCAAAATTCTTTTTTTGATACGTTTTTTTATTTTTAAAATACATAAAACTCCTAATCCCATCTTTGGTCCTGATGGGACAGTCTCGCAAGGAAGAGCAGAGTTGGTGTAAGTCCCAAATTGTACAGTTCCATCATCACCCGTCAATATTTAGAACACTGTGCCACCACTTTGGCCGGATAGTCCTTGCCCACAGGGCTCTCAAGTCTCACGCATTCACCGTGAGACACGTGCATTTCAAACAGCTCACACACTCACACCTCGTATTTCTCATGCTGAAAAGTAAGGGATAACTTGTCCCGCTATATACAATTAATGGACAAGGCACAGGCATACAGAGGGAATCTCTGCCAAGTTCATAGCTGTCTCGAGTTATACAGACCTACCAGCCAATCAGAAATTGTTGTTGCATATATTGTGTCTTGCTATTACCGGTAACATCTATTGGAAAGAGGGAAGATTGACTCTTGAGAGAGGAATGTTCATTTATTTTTTATGTATTTATCTTTATTTGTTTATTCTATTGTTTAGATCCTTTTCTATTTATTTATTTACCTTTTTTTTCTCTTTCTTGGTTTCATATTCAAATGTTTTTTTTGGGTGGGATGGTTTTGAATGGGTTTATATTGAGACAATCTGTAATTTCTTATTTTTCACTGAATGCACCATGTATGGTCTTGTTAAAATACCAATTAAAAAAAACATGAACAGATCAAGGTAGTATTTTATTTAACAGTGATATATAGATACACAATGTTGCTAATTTTAAATCATATTGCTGCTACTCCAAAAAACAAAAAAAAGCTAGAAAATTATAGCATTTCACAACCAGTTTGAACAAATACTTTGTTCGACCACTTCTAAAAGCACAAATTTCATCACTACAAGTATTGTATGATCCACTTAGATGAACAGCTCTTTTGATTACTTATTTTTCTCACTGTGACAACTTTGGGCAATGCTTTTTTATATGATTCAGCAGTGCACTTGACTGACAGAAGGCTCTCCCACATGAAGGGCAAAAATGTATGGCTTCACTCCTGTATGAATTCTCTCATGTTTCTTCATAAATCCTGACTGTGAGAAACTCTTTCCGCAGTGTGTACAATTGTAAGGTTTCTCTTCAGTGTGAAGTTTTTGGTGGTCTTTCAAGTGGCTGGCTAAATTAAAGGAACTCCCACACTCAGAGCACACATGTGCTCGCACATTGGCATATCATTTCTGGTGCTCTTTAAAATGGTCCATATGTGAATAACTCTGTCCACAAATGGAGCACAAGTATGGCTTATCATTTGTATGGATTCTCAGGTGTCTCTTCAGGTGTGCTGCAAACATAAATGTTTTGCCACACTGATCGCAGTAAAACGCTCTTTCTATAAAAAATAATTGGTGGTTATTACTTTCTTAATTATTATTATTATACTTAATAAATCATAAAAAGCTATCTAGCAGTCCCACCGACTCAGTAATAATTACAGCCTCTGAAATGCACTGTGCACTGATATTTTGAAAAATGTTTTTTGTCCATACAATGGGATCTAGTGATGGTTTTTAGGATACCACTCATTTGAGATAAAAACATCTTCAAAATATTTTGCACTCTGCATGACGAAAGTCATACAGATTTGGAGCACCACAAAGTGACATCAATTATGAGTTTAATTTCTAGGTAAACTATCCTTTTAAGCTCCCTTTATATACAATAATAAAGCAGTCACAGGCACACACAAAAATGAAATTAGAAGCAAATAAATGCACACAAAACAACATTGTTTATTCTCACAGAACCACAGTAAAACTCCAAATGAGAATGTTGGAGTCCCTGCTTTAACATGCGGATGAACAATGCCTGCAATGACCGCTCAACCACTTAATCTTCTTAAAAGCATGAACAAGAAAAGGCACCACTTTAACGAGTTGCAAATCCCAGTTCATTGTTTATGAATTTTCATATGATTGGGTCAATTGTGAACATTAACAGCTATTAACACAGTGATCTGGACATTTTCACCTTCATTTTTCAGGCAAATACCTGCATCAGTGTGTGCCTGTGCTTTAGTCTTATTTTCAAAGACAACAAAAATGTGGGAAGAGCCATGAATGTTTTGTTAAGCAACAGTAATGATTTCAGACTTTATTGAGCACCATGTAGGATACAGTCTGTCGTTAATACCCACATTGGCCACCTCAACACAATACGCCTCAGTGTCCAGTCCTGCTCATCACTCTCCCTGAGAAAATATGACAGTGATCTAACAGCACCCGCTGCCTGACTGTTGCACCGGGGTGCTTTCAATTTTAAGATCAGGTTTCTCTGAACCCCCTGAAGCCCCCGGCCTCATGCGCTTCTTTATCTCCTCTGCCATGGTCATGAAGGCCTGCTCCACGTTCGTGGCATTTTTGGCACTCGTCTCAAGGAAAGGGATGCCGAGAGAGTCAGCAAACTCCTGAAAAAAGTGTTGGAGAAAGAAGAATGGTCTTTCTGTAGAGAATAGTGTTTTCTGTTAATGTAAGTTCATGTATAACTATAAAGTGTTTGGTGTTGAAATGACATAGCTTACCTCACTAATAGATCCTCTGCAGTGAATGGGTGCCGTCAGAATGAGAGTTTGAAAATAAAACATCACAATAATCCACAAGTTATCCAGACAAGATGACTTTTTCACTGGGGGAAGCATTATTAAGGGTTATTAAGTGGTATTTTGGCCAGAAGCAACGGTTTAAAAGTTAAAACATCTTGATGAATATCTTTCTTATAAACAAAAAGGTTTACACTTCAGAAGACATTAATTGATGAACTGGAGTGGTGTGGATTACTTGTGGATTATTGTGATGTTTGATCAGCTGTTTGGACTCTCATTCTGACGGCACCCATTCACTGCAGAGGATCCATTGTTGAGCAAGTGATATAATGCTAAACCTCTCCAAATCTGTTCAAATGAAGAAATTATTTTAAGAAATTATTATAATTAGCCGAGGGCAATTATAATAATTGCCCTCTGCTAAGAAGGAGCGCGTGTAATTTAGAACAATGTCTAAAAACTTGGTATTACAAGCACTTCCTGTGTCTGTTTGCCTCTTTAAGAAGAATCGCTTTATGTATCCCCCAACTGTAAGTCGCTTTGGATAAATGCGTCTGCTAAATGACTAAATGTAAATGTGAAACAAACTTATCTACATCTTGGATGGCCTGAGGGTGAGTTAATTTTCAGCTCATTTTCTCGTTGAGTGAACTATTTCTTTAACTAGTCTAAAAGGAAGTTCATTATTTCCCTACCAACCAACCTTAGCTGTAGTGTAGTCCACAACTTTTTTTGTAGTGAGGTCACACTTATTTCCTACAAGTAGTTTGTTGACATTCTCACTTGCATAGCAATCGATTTCTTTCAGCCACTGTTTCACATTGTTGTAGGACTCCTGAAAAAACACCAGCATCAAACTTTTAAGAATGTGTGCAGTTGTGATAACATTTGAGAGGTAAACCTTTATTTTACTAAGCAGCAACCATAAATGTTTCAAGTATTGATGTGAATTTTTTAGAAAGGAGTCTCACAAACCTGATCCGTGACATCATACACAACAATGATCCCATGAGCTCCTCTGTAGTAGCTAGATGTAATCGTGCGGAATCGCTCCTGTCCAGCGGTGTCCCACTGGAAACATTTACATGTCTCATTTAACTGTAGATTGACATTAAAAGGCACACTTAAGATGAATTCTAAAGTCTACAAACTCACTATCTGCAGTTTAATAGTTTTTCCATCCAACTCAATAGTTCGGATCTTGAAATCCACTCCGATCGTGCTGATGAAACTCTCTGTGTAGGTGTCGTCCTGGAAAAGAAAAATCAATCGTATTTCTAACACCCGGTCAGAGATCATTCATATCCAAAGATGCTGTTAAAAAACAAACACTTACTGCAAAACGCAATAGAATGCAAGATTTTCCGACTCCAGAATCTCCAATCAGAAGAAGCTTGAATAAGTAGTCACTGTGAAAATATGCAAAAAAAAATACAGTTCTGAGATGTTCATTTTATATATAAAATATATTATTCATATAATACTAATATTAAATACTATAATATAATTCTATTTATAATTATTTAATAATAATGTTAATATAATAATAGTTAAATTATATATGTATATATATATATATATACACACACACACCTATATATACACACATATATATATATATATATATATATATATATATATATATATACACACACACACATAAATATACACACACACACACACACATATATACATATATATATATGAATATATACCTATCATACTTTTATTTACAGAGCAGCTATTGTGCAGTCTGCAACCATGACAAATGCTATCAGTGCCAACCGTAACACAATTCATACTATTTGCTATTTAATTATTACATAAATTGAACAGCAACTGCATAGGAAATTTGGTTGACCTGCCAACGAAAGGTTAAAGGAAATTATGGGAGGTCATAAATGTTCATAGTTCTGTTCTCACGACTTACTATTCAGGGTTCATGATGTGACAGCAAAGGGATTGTTATTGTTTGTCCAGCTGGTAGAAGCGCTCTGGGCCGCCTACTGTTTACCGGCTGACCGCAAACTCTGAGCCAGTGTTTAGCCTGGAGTAGTAGCAATAAAAAGAGGATCTCTGAGTTTTGATAGGCCTTTGTGGACCGTTTCCAGACTTCCTTGTAAAATCAACCCAGTCTGACTTTACGGCTCCTCTCTCCTCTCTGGTTTTACAAGCCGCGCAGGTGCGGCAGTGACCGATGATGATGATGCGCCGCTATTCTGATCCACTTTCGCCGCCTAGTGGTGGGATCCATGCATATATAATTTTGTGCATACGTTGCCAGGATTCAGAAAACATGTTAAATAAACGGTAATGTAAAGTTTGCTTGTGCTTTGTGATTATAAAATATGTTGATTTTGTAGATGAGCTGATATATACACAGATAAAACTGTGTCTGCCAAGGCGTTTATATGTGGTTGCTTGAGGTTTATGTGTGGCTTATATATAAAATATTACATTTTTATTTACATGATAAGCTAATTAAATGTGTGTGTGTGTTTACTCCCCTCCCAAGTTTTAGGCAGAAAAAAACATAGATTAAACAGAAATTCAAACAGCATCAAACTTTATTGAATAAAACACCCTAAATCTTAAAATAGGAATGAATAACACATTTAAATATCAAAAAGAGTACAGATGGACAAAATACTTTTTGTATATCTATAAAACAATCCTTAAATATTTTTCATTTTTAATTAGCTTTTAAGGTTTAAAACAGAAAATACAGAATGGCTTCATTTTATATAAAAAGCCCCTTTTCAAAAGGTATTAAACCTCTAAAGGCACTGCAATGCAAAATAACTTTATGAATACATTCATTTGGAGACACTGTCTGATGAAACATCAGAGAATATAATTTGCAGATAAGACAACAGCCCAACAGAGACATTCTGGCATACCAGGAAACGACACACTTAAATAAATAATGTAAAAACAGCAAACTTTGGCGCAAGTCTCTTTGTCTGTTCGATATACCTTAAAGACAGTCAAATCGTCTCAATCTTAAACTAAATTTCCAAAAAAAAACATTACAAAGAAGAGAAAACCCTGCTTGCCTGCTCAGATTGTAAGAAATATATTATTTATTGAGCAATGTTTTATTTGCTTCAGGAAAAAAAATCCTGACTAAGGTTGTGGGACAGAAGTCTCAATAAATATTGGATTTCTTGCAACCTACAGCAGTGTGCAGGATTCTTCCCTTTTCTTATTATTTCTTGTGTTCAGTTCAACTGTCTGCAACCATTCAGGTGTGTGAAGGCTGTTTGTTTATTGTCCAATAAAACAATAAAAACCTTCTTTCAGATTTTAAGATTTAAAGTAATATTGCTTAAAATACTAAACTCTCGACCAGTGAAACCTGGGAAAACCTTCAAAACATTGTGCAAACTTTCAATGAATAACTTGTCTGATCTAGACTGGACATGATTTATATCCCACTGAGATGTCGCTGAGATCTTTAAGATGTTGTGAGAAAGGGCTTCATGTTTAAGCCAAATGTCTTTGAAAGTTAAAACAAGGCACACTAATGTCCTGGTGTAGTCCAAGTTATTTAGGATCGTCTCTGGTGCAGTGAGCCACAGCTTTCATGAGAATTCAAGTTTCTTTATTGAAGAACACACTTTTCCTTATTGCTGTATTTTCTACGCCTTGCCTCCAGACCTCTCTCCAGTCTCTCATCCTCCTCCAAAGCTCTGCACATATAAAATACATTCAGTGCATGAGTCTAATTTCCAGTGCAACAAAACACACTGTGACTAGACTCACCCTCTCTCTTTTGCATCCATGTCTCTGACCAGCTCGTCCCGCTTGTTGACCAGTGACACCAGTTCCTGTAGCAGTAGCTGTTCTCTGTGCTGTTGGGCCTTAGTTTTCTGCCAGTCTGATGGATGAAATATGGATATTAGTGATATGATTGTACAGTGATGAAATACTGCTTCAGCCATAGAGGAAATAGGTAGGTAAAAGTTAAAAGCATTAATAGACCAATATATGGGCCAAGCTGATGTTCTTCCACTTTGGCAGAATCCACATTAACATTGGTATTAATTACATTTGGAACCTGCAAACTTTTCACTTTTTTGTTGGTTTTAGGAATACAATCTGAATTTACACGACAAATGAAAATATGGAATGTGTGGAATAAAGATGCACAATATATCGGTAGCATACAGGCTGATATTAGATAACTGAATAATTAACTATGTTCATTATTTTTACATTTATATTACCTTGGCTGCTCAAGTTATGCTTTAAAAACACTACTTTAATAGTTAACAGATAACACGGCTTACCTTCAGTAGCCATCATCGCTCTGAGCTCTCGAGTTAGCAGCTCAAATCTTCTTTCTAAATCCTGCTCTTCTTGCCTGCAAGGATAACATCATGAATATTTATTGATGCGGCTGACATTGTGTCTTACATATCAATACATACAGCAGCTCCAGATGGTCTTGTCTCCTGATCAGAGCATTCTTCTTGTTGACCAGAGTGAACCATTCCTCAATCAGCTTCTCTTCTTCATCTTTATCACTTCCTGTTAAAGAGATAATGTGGCATATCATGCTGTATTTCAAGAGTTAATTTGAAATCGGCTTCATTTTCTCCTTCCCTCTATATGAGTGTTTTTCTTACCCGTCTCCATGAGCTTTCGGAGTCTTTTCTCCACAACTGCAGCTCTGCTGTCTATGTGCTTCTGTTCGGTTTCCAGGGCCTGAAGTTCACTCAACACATACTGATTGGTGTCCTGCAGACACTGGCCAGGAAGTACCACAGGGAGACATACATAAAACCAGACAAGAGCAATACAGACAGAGAGAGGAAAAGACAGCGAAAAGGAATGAAGATTGAGCGAAAGAGAGATGGATAGAGCCAGATACAGAGAATAAAAGATTGATAAGAAAGAAGCAGACATTGAAGTACCAAGATAATGGAGAGGAGAGGAAAGGACAGGCTTGATTTAACTAAAAGATTTATGAAAACAAGGAAATTAAACATGGGATGGTAAGAGCTTGCGAGTCAGGGGCCGGATTCTGAAAATTCTTGTTAAGAATGAAGTAGTTCATAAGAATGTTTTTGCAATTCTGGAAAATCTGGATTCTGAATTCCTTTTTGTTTCTTAAGCAGAAAATGATAGGCGTTGGTGTTATTTGACGGGTATAGGCAAAGTTTCATTGATGACATTGATGACAACATGAAATGTTAAAGGGGTCATACGATGCGATTTCAAAGAGAGAGCGAGACAGCGAGAGAGAGAGAGAGCGAGAGAGAGAGATAGAGAGAGAGCGCGAGAGAGAGAGGGGCCACATCACAGTGGAGTCAGCTGTCTTAACCATGGCTTGTGTACTGCAAACACATACCAGCTTCATCACTGTGTCTGTCACGCGACTCTGTTCCCCTTTCGGGCTCTGTCTTTACATTTATTTTGAAAGATGAAGCTCGCGATTATGGTAAAGGGCGTTACATTTCCGACGAGTGCTTGCGGTGTTTGGCCAATCACAATGCACTGGGTCAGCTGGCCAATCAGAGCAGACTGCGCTTGTCGGAAGGAGGGACTTTGTAGAAAACGAAGCGTTTGAGAGAGGCGGGGCATAGAGGACCTACAATAATGTACAGTATTTGAAAAATAATGTGTTTTTTGAACATTAAAGCATGTCAACATATTCTGTTACACCAAATACACAAAATAATGATCTTTAAAAAAGCATCATATGACCCCTTTAAGATATGTTTACATCACTTTCACGATGCTTGCATAAATGTAATTGTCATAAGAAAAACTTGACGGGACACTGTGTCTGTCACGCGACTCTGTTCCCCTTTCGGGCTCTGTCTTTACATTTATTTTGAAAGATGAAGCTCGCGATTATGGTAAAGGGCGTTACATTTCCGACGAGTGCTTGCGGTGTTTGGCCAATCACAATGCACTGGGTCAGCTGGCCAATCAGAGCAGACTGCGCTTGTCGGAAGGAGGGACTTTGTAGAAAACGAAGCGTTTGAGAGAGGCGGGGCATAGAGGACCTACAATAATGTACAGTATTTGAAAAATAATGTGTTTTTTGAACATTAAAGCATGTCAACATATTCTGTTACACCAAATACACAAAATAATGATCTTTAAAAAAGCATCATATGACCCCTTTAAGATATGTTTTTGGGAATACAAAATATTCATAACCTTAACCTTAAGTTAGAAAACAGGAAAAAAAAGCAGTTTTATTCTTAAGGATGTTTCACAAATCTGGCCCCAGAATTAGAGAATTATGATGATTATTGTAAACTCAAAGATATTTTCTAAATATTTGATGTGCAAATTGGCACATTTAGTTTTAATTTGTTTTCTTTGAGGTTTATCCAAAAATTAAACTTGATGAAAGACAAAACACTCCAATTGTCTCAAATACTAAGGGCATACTGACCATTGTCTCATTATCTGCTGATTTAACATCTTGGTTTGCTTCCTGAGGTTCTGCAAACACATTCAATGGCAAAAAAATGTAAATCAGAGTGTAAAATACCAAATCTTTCCAAATTCAATAATTTTTTGGGGATATTAGGAAGCTGTTGAGGAAGGTTACCAGTTTCAGCACTTTCTCTGGCAGCTGTTGAGCCATTAGTTTCTTCAGCTGTCAGTTCACCTTTATCTGACTGTCGGAGGTTAGTAGAGAAAAGACAATTAGATAAAATATTAACACACATAAATGCAAGGGAAGGGTAAAGTTGATGTCTTTTACCTCCTTTGGCTGCTCCTTCGAATCGGTCTCATCCATGGATTCGCTCTTCAGTCGCGACCGCCGTTTCTTCACCAGATCCGCATCTCGTATGTGGCCAAATCCTGATCTGGAAGCCTCTGAGTTTGATCGTGGCGGGGCCACAGGAGTCTGCGCTCCTCCCTCTGTCTCCTTACTGCCCATCTCTTCCACCTTTCCCGCACGTTTAGTCCGAGGTGGAGGAACAAGAGCTCCGTTTGGCTTAGCCACACTGTCACTTCCCTCCTCTCCCAGTGAGTCCTTGCTGTTGCTGTCTCCTGACAGAGCTCCAGCTTGGAGCCTCTCTGCACAGAATTTGGCTGCTGCTTGTACATCCGGCCCTTGGTTTGGCCTGGCTACTGCATAGCTGGACTGACTGTTGTTCTGCTCTATCTGTAACACACTCAGCTCCTGCCCAGTGAAGTGTGCACGGATTTGGCACAAGTACGTCATGACAATCAAACGA